AAAAAGGAACATGTCCGTCACACACTGACACAAACTTGACCACAAAAATGGAACATGTCCGTCACACACTGACACAAATTTGACCAAAAAAAGGAACATGTCCGTCACACACTGACAAACTTGACCACAAAAAGGAACATGTCCGTCACACACTGACACAAATTTGACCAAAAAAAGGAACATGTCCGTCACACACTGACAAACTTGACCACAAAAAGGAACATGTCCGTCACACACTGACACAAACTTGACCAAAAAAAGGAACATGTCCGTCACACACTGACACATACTTGACCAAAAAAAGGAACATGTCCGTCACACACTGACACAGAAACTTGACAAAAAAGCACGTTTGTAATTCGCCACGAATTCTACCAAACTTCTTTTCGAAGTTTCTCACGCTTACGCTCCAATCTAGGAATTTAACATAGATGTGCAATCAATGACCAAAGGCACTTACACATTTTAGCACAGAAACTCTTTCCTTTAGAGCGGACATCTGCATAATTCCATTTCTATCCCAAGCATTTTGTATTTATTTATTATCGGCGCCTGGAACTTACACTGAAAAGAGTTGATACGTGTATTTTTTTAATTTACTCCTATAACTGCAATACATTTATTTTATCGGGTTAGGACTTATCGCGAGCACACAAGTCCCCACAAGTTCTGCAGAAACACGAAATTCCTCCAATTGTTCACCTGATAACAGGCCCCGTTGTTTTCTAAATAAAACATTAAGCAGCTGTTAATCAGTTAGTTTCCTTTGAATACAATGGATCAAAGACCCACAATTATATACAAATATTATGTTTCTGGACATTATCCATCGTCGTGTCTTTATCTAAAAGCACCGCCCGGTTTATTTTTCAAAATACAGATTTTCGGAGCCTGGATTCTTTCTCCGTCGTCAGGTGAAACCTACTGAGTTGGGCCAAATCTTTGAAGCTAGTCCCTATCTCAGAAACGTTATGTTTTGAAAAATAAGCAGGACGGTGTTTTTAAGTAAAGACAGGAGGATGGATAATGTCCGGAAGCAATATTTGTACTAATGTACCATCGTCACATCTTACCCACAATTTTAGTTTGACATGATTTGTCTCACACCCATTTCTTGGAGAACGTCCGATACATACGTTTTATGGGGTTAGTGCTTATTCAAGTCAGGTGCTCCATCCGTCCCCAACGTTAAGAGTTATGTTCGTGCATTTGTTGAAATGGAAAAAGGGGTCTTTACGCAATTAGTGAAGCAAAGGTCGGAATTTTGTGCGGTAAAATTCCGCCAATTGTAATAGTGCACAATATAATATATTTAATAGTAACTGAATGTGACATTTCTTTCGTTGAAATTTCAATATATAAAATAAAGTTACTTTAATATGTTTAAATTAAATCGTTTAAAGGCAGTAGACACAAATACGCCAGTGCTATATAACCACAAAAAAGAGCCACTTTGCCAATTTTAAACACAGCAGTGAAATTGCTGAACACACTCGTATGCATGATAGCTTTCACGTTACCACAGTCCACACAATCAATACCTAAACCAAACTTCATTAGTCGCATCTTGCTAAATTTTGTCGTTTCCAAGGCATCATTGTTGTTGTGGATGACATCTTTTATGTCGTGATTTTTTATGAGTAGACGTTTCTTTGGTGCCTCTTCTTTCCGATTTCCCCGTCTTTATCTTCTTTAAACATCGTCCTTCAATTCATAAAAGAAGTATGTCTGTTGGTTTCACTTTTTGACAAGTATGAAGAAAGAATTGTCATATTAATGCTATGTTTGTGACAGAAATTTATCACGTATTGAGTAAATGAACAATGATTATCCAACGAAAGCATCAAAAGGTGGTTTGTGCCACTCCTTACGTTCTGTTTAAAGCCATGAATCCGTTCTGCAGACACAGTTGAAGTTAATACAGTCCGAGTCGGAACACACAACTTTCATTTAGGAGGACTTGCAGGTAAAGGTTTTTCCCACATCTTCTTCCGAGGAACATAGAAACCACTGGCAGCCATGGGTCATTCCCAACGATTTTATTTTCTTTGGCGGGAGAAAGCTTTAGACTCTCATTAGGATATGTTAAGTGGTCACATTCGTCCATATTGCTAATGACACTTGGAAGGAATTTGAATATTTGTACAAATCTGTCAAATTTCGAAAGAAAATGTTGAATTCAGTAATTTGTTCTCACTGAACACGACTGCGCATGCTGAAGCTCGCATATTATGTTTTAAAAACTACACAAAATCACAAAGAAATAACATTTACCTCATAGCAAACGTGTGCATAACAAAATATCATGCAACATAATGAATTTCCCGCGACTGTTCAGTGCATCCAACATGTCTCCCGAACATCTAAACTTACCTGGAAACGACCTTTACTCCAAGTTGACTTCTGTCCCATTTCACCCTACTCCGCAGTCATCCAAGTGCTGAAGAGTTGAAACTCCAAACTTATATATAGACCCAGTATTTGTCAACTTGCTGGTTGGTCAGGGTTATCACACAACTCAAATGGGGTGATGACTGATAAATATGGAACAATAGTGGAATGGTGATTAGCAGGGGAAATCCGAACAAATTTGAAGAAACCCCGGCTCAAATATCACTATATTCACCACGAATATTTCCTATTTTTTTAAAACAGGCTAATCTATTCGCAGCGGCGAAGAATGTCCATTCGCAGCAGAATCTAAGCAACGCACAAAAGCCTTCCAGTTAATATAGCTTCAGGATGAGAGGAAGAGTGAGCCAGAATCTTTGAAGTTGAAAGGGGCGTTCACGTGCATAGTGTGAAGTCCTCCATTAAGTAGGACCGATCTGATTGTCGCTGCTTTGTGTTCAACAGCCGGAATCGCAAAGTCACTTAATCTTTCAGTTCTTCCAGTGTGTCTGATACCAACTTTTCAGGCAAACTGTAGCCACATGCTGTCATCTCCATCTCGGTCTTGGTTGACGAGAAGCTGCTGAGTTACGCGGAGCGCCATCTTGACAATCACTGCTTGGATAGATCTTCAGTTGTCTTCGGCTGTAGGAAGTTGTTATGATATATTACCCTAAATATATTATAAAATATGTAATAATATGCATTATGTAAAAATTGTGGGGGGTACGCAGTAGCGTAGTTGGTTGAGGTACTACGCTACAAGCCGGAAGATCGCGGGTTCGATTCCCGATGATGTCGTTGGACTTTTCAGTTGATTTAATCTTTCCACCCATGGGGTCGACTCAGCCTCTAACAGAAATATTAGAGCCGGTTTTCTAGAAAATGTGGGAGTCCCGATGTCTCTCAACCCTATGGGCTTCCACGGCCTCTTGCAAGGATAGCTTCATCTTTTACCTTTATATAACAATGTTATTGTTCTCTTTCCTGTTTCCTACCACGAATCTGACAGAGAACACCCAAATGTAGTATGAACATTACTCTGTTATGTACTTTAATAAGACTACTGCAGCTACGGCTTTTAAATCGATGTTCAAGTAATGTTGTAAAGCTCTGGATGGAATTCGAATTCTGATGCCCGGTCCCCTTAATTGGGCCTACATCAGTACATTTTGCAGCTGTACCTGGAACATACATGCTGTGACAGGGAGGAGTAACACAGCTACTGTTACTTGTCTAAGAATTTATCCCCGAAGAAATCGCCTATGAAAATGTTAGTAGGTACATTAATGCACTCTGAGGTTTGCAACCATTTAAGTACGAACCTTCGTTTCTCTCATTCGCTATTGGATGCTGATCGGGAAAGCACTGCCTCTAGAGGAGCATTCACCTGCAGCACCCAATCATCGTAAAGTTTAATGTTGCTACTGAAACGGAGAAGCAGTATCTCCTGCAGTGGCTAGTTTCCAGTTGGCACATACACAATTTTCTCAAGAAAAGTATACAGCTATGAAATGTGGGAAGGAACGAAACGGAAAAGCTCAATTGATTTTTGCGATCGCTTCTTCTTCCATCAGCCGTCTGTTCTGTTGAATATCTGATCAATAACACTATCACTACCTCGCCACAAGAAAAACATCTTGAAGACAGAATATCTGTAAACTTCCAGAAATCAAATCAACTATACACAACGGGGCCCTCCCTGTTCCTGTGAATATCTGCATTTGTTCCGAGTAACTAGATGCTACGGATCAAAGGTCGGGGGCGTGTTTTCTCGAGATTCTTCCGTTCCCATAAAATTTCTGCAAAACAATATGTTCGACAGCATGATTAATGTCGGAATAAAATAACCTCGGGATAGGTGATGCAGCCCTAAAGAGGATCCGATTTGCAATTGTCGACATGATCACACCTCAGAATCACAACGTACTTACCCGCAGGCTGGCAGCACTCGACTGGGGAGAACCTACAACCAGCTCCCCGCTGCGTCTATTTCTGTTCTGGCAGCCGACGCCCATCTGAAGGGCGCTATTAGTTGTAACTCAGGGCCACACACTTCGCGTTGTGGTTACAGGTCAAGATTAAGTGCTACGTGATTCAAAGCTTCTTCTGTTAGATTCAGAAGCGCCGTCTGAGGGGTGGAGGGAGCCAGCCATATTTCTCCTCTCCCCTCCCCCACCTGGATTTTTGGGAGAATCAAAATTTATAGAAAGGAGGAAATATACAAAATATTTGTATCAAAATTTAAATTATTAAACAAATAAATATTTATTCTTCTACTTTGAGTGCTGTAGGGCGATCTGCAAAAATAATCTTAAACGACTTAAATGTAAGTTTCAGGGAGAATTTTGATTCAACTGACTAATTGCATGGAGCTCAACCCTTCTTGCGAAGTTGCCAGTCGATCAGCTACTCAAGAATTCACCTATAGTTTATGGAACCTGAAGGTTTATTACCCTACTCACAAATGCCCTCCAGTTGTCCCTATGCTGACCCAGATCAACTCAGTCCATACCGCCCAATACTATATGTCTAAGATTCATTTAATATTGACTTCCTGCATACATCTAGGTCTACATAGTGGTCTCTTCTTGCTGTCCCACCAAAATCCTATATGCATATCTCTTCGTATTCTAATTACACTTGACGAAGAGCACAGGTGCCGATCACAGTGGCCCCGCAGTCTAGTTATTATTAGTTACTTATTTTTAGAGAGGGTGGGTTTCCCCATGCACCGCGACCAGTTTGATCTATTGTGCTTCCCTCTATGATATTCTACCAGTCTCTATACCCTACCGATACTGGTGATTACCATCAGTCCCGACCAAGCCAGCGAGTTCGGCCTCTATTGGCTTGGCGGTATCTATAAAGCTTCCCCCATCTATCAGAGGCGTTAGAGACTACTGTTGGGCGGGAAATGTCCTTGAATTTGGCTCAGTGACCTCCTTAGGAGATATGAGGTTCTTTTACGTGCCGTAAAGCTACGACACGGGACCCACGGCTTAAAGTCCCTCCCGGAGGACTTGTTCCCTGAAATTTTCCGCCCTTAAAAATACGACGACCTCCGCCGGGTTTGAACCCGCGTACTACGAGTCATGAGGTGGGAACGTTACCTCTAGACTACGGAGGCCGTTGGCCGCGCAGTCTAAGGCATGAAGCGTCTTCGCCCGCTAGAATACTGGGATCGTGGTTTCGAATCCCACTCGGGGCATGGATGACTGTGTGCGTTTATTCTGTGTTTACGTTGTTCTATGTGTAGGTAGCGGCCTTGCGACAGGCTGATCCCCCGTTCAAAGAGTCCTACCTACTGTGTACAAGATTAAGAAACTGAGAAGCGGCCAAGGTCCATAGGGCTCAACAGCCATGAAGAGAGAGAGAGAGAGAGAGAGAGAGTGAGGAGTACAGGTTATGAAGCTTCTCATTATGTAGTTTTCTCCAACCTCCTATGGTTTAATCCCTCTTTGTTTCAAATATTCTCGTGGCGTCCGTGGTTAGAATTCCTTTCCTATCGCCTGAATTGCACATTGCAGCTCATTTACCGATTTCACCCTCTTCAAGACAAGTGAAAAAATAGTAATCGTTTGTACTAAGAATTAAATAAAAACTTTGCATTCAAATAGTTCAAGATCTGGGACCGTTAAGTCCTGAGTCGTATCCGCATGCTCGCACCTTAAACAATGTTCCTGTTTCCATCCACACATCACTCCCAATATTTTCGACGTGGTTTTAAGATCACGTGGCGCCCCACTATAGACAAGAAATGAGTGGGAGGAAGAAGACAAAAGAAGAGAGCGGTTAAAAAGTGTTAGGAAAGCTGTTAGAAAATGATATCCTCAACGCGGGCCAATGTCAATGGCATATAAACCTTTCCGAATTAAAAAATGCGTGGAATAGAAATAAAGGAAGATGCAGGCAGAATTATTTTATTATTTGAAAGGACATAGAATGCAGTTTTATTTTAATGGGGTTTAAAAATAATATCTTCCAAATGGCCACCTCCGTTTTCCATAAACTGACGGAGCCTGTTTCGGAAGTTTTCCACGACTCTACGAGTCATATTCCGTGGAATAGCGTTGATTTCTTCGGGGACGGCAGTCTTTAGTTCATTGATTGTTCGGGGACGATGTGTGCACACCTTTGCCTTGAGGTAGCCCCACAGAAAAAATCGCATGGTGTTAGATCAGGCGATCTGGGGGGCCACCCGATATCACCCCGCAAAGAGACAAGATGACCAGGAAATATTTGTCTTAGAATCTCCATTGAACGAAGCGAGGTGTGGGCCGTAGCACCATCTTGTTGGAACCAGATATCTTCCAGGTCATGATCTTGCAATAATTCATCCAATTTCGGTAAAAGAAAATTTTCAAGCATGTAACAATATCAAGCAGAAGTCACCGTAACGACTTCACCATCTTCTTCGAAAAAGTAGGGGCCCCAGACACCACAATCGGAAACAGCGCATCACACCGTCACTTGAGAACTGTGGAGTGGTCGTTATTGAAGGTTCCGAGGGTTATTCTCAGCCCAGTAGCAGAAATTTTGTTTATTTACAGTCCCGGACTGGTGAAAATGGGCCTCGTCACTACAGATCAAAACAGCTGTGGAAGGGGTACTCTGCAGAATGTCGTTGCATAAATTTCTTCGAGTTTCAAAGTCTCTTTCACTTAAATCTTGCACTAATGGGTGCATTTTGAGGTCTCTATGAAGGATTCTTCTAACACTACGGGCAGATAATCCGAGTGCAGCGGCATGCTTCCGTGCAGAACGTTTGGAGGATTGCAAAATTGAAGCCCGCACTCTAGCCACGTTTGCCGCCGACGTTGAAGTCCTGATCCGGCCTGAAGATTTTCTTTTTAATGCAGAAGATGTCGCTCTAAAATTTGATGCCCAGTTTCTAATTGTTGGTCCAGATGGAATGGGATCACGCCGACCGAGAGCAAAGTGAGTGAGAAAGGCTCGCTGGGTTTTGATCACAGAACCGCCGTTTTTAATAAACTCTTTCAGTACGAACGCACGATGTTCTCCAGACCAAGCAATTGTGTGTACTGAAAACTGCACGCTATAACGCGTCTAACGATACCAACCCCACCACTCTACCCCCTCCCTAGCCACAGCAATGACCTTGTGAAATCGGAAGGGTTAATAGGCTCCCCAAACACACACAGTTTGGCCTTCCGATCGACCTTACAGGCAAAACTGTGACAGTTTACCCCTTCCCTTTCCTCCCCATACACGTGCAGATAAAGCGGCAGGCTTCATGCCACAATCACGGTCTTCCAGCCTATAATGTTGAGTCACACACGTCATGTGCTACGGTCCTGCAGGCAGAACTGACGGACTGACGGTTTTCCCGCAGGCCAACAGTCCAAACGATTGGCCGGCCGGCCACACCACACACGTCAGTTTTGCCTTTCAGTCTTCAACTGTGCAGGCCGAACTGGAGGCCAAACTGTGTGTGTATGGGGGGCCTTAGAGCTGACAGTCCAGGATAAGCTGCGCAGTGGATGGGCAGGTCCATTCGTGAAAGTTGAGGGGTGTTGTGATTAGTCATTCGTCTGCATTCATTGCGAGCGGTCGTCTCAAGAGCATGCTTCCTTGTACAGTCAAGTTAAAAGTTTTGACTCTAGGAGACGTATTTGAGTGTATTATTCTCTAATTACTCTATTAATATTGTGACGCGTTACCTTACGTCCATCGCCACGCAACGGCTACAATGGAAATTGCTGAGTTCCAACAGCGACAAATCGAATACAAACAGACCGTTACGAAGGAGCCTTCCCGAGGCAACGGATTGCCGAACACGTGAGTTTGGAATAGGCACTTCCATGGTAACGCAAAGAACAGGGAGCCGTTGCATAGACAATGCAGAAGCAATGAACGCGTCTCCCCAGAAATGAACTACAGAGAGTTCATTGCGCCCGTTACGTAACAGCGGACAGTAGAAACGAAACAGTGAGGAATGGTGTCTGGTATCCAGTCCGCAGAACACCTACATAAGCCGAGAGCTACAGAAACAGAAGACAGCAACAAGACAGCAAGAAGTCAGTACTGGGATAGCCGTCGCCGAAGACAGTTGAGATCCAACCACAGCCAAAGATAGTTGAGACGTCGCATTGAAGTACTGGGCCAGAAGTCAAGTGGTGACACGTGACAGTATTTTATTTTATTGTTTATTTTTATTCGTTGATTTTCTTTTTTGTTTATTTATATTTGTACATTTTTTCTATCTCCTTTACTTCCTACACGAAGTAAATTAAGTGGAAAAATGTTGCATTCACAATCAAGAGAAATTGTTACTAATGTTTATAAGTATATGAAAGAGGCTGGGCCAACAATTACAGTAAAGAACATAGGAGTGGAAGTAGCAAAGGCAACAGGCGTATCGGAAAATAGTGTCAGAAGAATAATAAGAGAAAAAAATATCGAATCTGGGGCTTCCACTTCCTTTTCGACACCCCATAAAGAAAGACCCAGGAAATCTCCACTAGCCATTTTGGACGACTTTAACGAGTTTGTGGTGCGAAGAACAATTAATAACTTCTACATAGTCGAAAAACGGAGACCTGCCCTGAAAAAAGTTCACGAAAAGTTGAAGAAAACGTTAGGTTTTCAGGGATGCATCTCCGTATTAAAGAAATTTATTTTGAAACTGGGGTTCCGCTGGAAGAAAACAAAAATAATCGGACATTGCCGGTGTTGCCCCTTTAGAATAGACCCGTGTAATATGTAAATAAATTCTTCATATATATAACAGTGAAAAGTGTATAAGAGTGTATAGTGCATAATAGTCTGCCATTCGGCACTTAAAACTTAGCATCGGATGTGTGAACATCAACGAGACTAAACCCCCATCACTATGCAACACAATGCGGTAAGAAGTTATTTCCTTTTGAGAACGCCTGTACTGCATTCCCCGCCACACTTGGCATGCTGAAGCTCTCCCCGCCACTGCCGATACTTCTCCTACTCCGCGTCG